TGACTATAATCCCAGCAGCTCTAGAGACTCGGGCAGGAGAACGGCAAGGTCTAGGCCAATCTCAGCAGTTTTAGCAAGTCCCTAAGCAACCGAGTGGGACCCTGTCTCTAAATAAAAACATATCCAGGCAGAGTGGTGCATGCCTGTAATTCCAGTGGCTCAGGAGGCTGAGGCAGGAGGATCTGGAGTTCAAAGCCAGCTTCAGCAACTTAGTAAGGCCCTAAGCAACTCAGTGTTGCTGGGCATGTGGCTCAGTGCTAACTGACCCTGAGTTCAATCCCTGGTATCAAAAATAAACAAACAAATAAATACATATAAAAACATAAAAGGGAATGGGGGCATAGCTCAGTGGTTAAGCACTCCTGGGTTCAATCCCCAGTACCAAAAAAAAAAAAAAAAAAAAACCCAAAAAATGAAAGTTCAGTTCCTAGTGTCATATTTTCATGTCCTTCTACACGCTTAAGTCCACTTAGAAGTTTATTGAATGCTTACTTAGTACAAAGCACTGTGTTTGGTGTTATCTGAATTATCCTAGATTTAGCAAATGTCCCCCGAGGACTGAACTTACATGGATGTTTGTAAGAAAATAAAGCTAAAATAAAACATATTTGCTCCAATTTTTTTAGTGCAGTAGCACAGAATGAGAGCAGTTTAGAAAGGCTTCATTAGCCTATAAAGTACCTATGAGCTTGTAGTTAGCTTTATGAGTGTGTTCAGAACTCATCCTAACATTAGAAAAATCCATTCTAAGAATTATTGACAGTAAGTTATAATTAATAATTCATGCAAAATGCTGTAAATTGGTAATTTCCTAGATTATGCTGACCAAAGTTGTTGTATCAGTATTTACAGTCTCTTATTTGAGGAAATAAAAGTGATCTAGTTATTGGAAGAATTTTCTATTAGCACATTTTAAGATGACTAGTTGGTTCATTAAATAGGTTTGTATAAGATCCACAGAAAATCTTGGTAAACTTGCATGTGTTACATGTTGAGAGATACCTATGATGTCTTTAATATGGATTTTTAATACATGTTCTAAATCTCACTCGACATTTGTTTTTCTATGGTAACTACTGTGTTTGGGGAACTATTTATGAAATGAATCTGGGAGGGTCTTAAAAATTGCCTGGTTAAGTATATTTGGTCTCTTTTGAAATTATTTAGCAGAAAATATTAATAAAACCACTAGCCATTAAAATGCCCCCAATAAATTCCTTGAATTATACTGTTATAAAGTGGTTTTTCATTCATTCTACAGCCATATTGGGTGTCCAATATCAGTACTGCTTTATTGTCAGAACCAGGAAATGTGGCGATCATATCCTTGTCATGGAGCTTACATGCTAGTGGGAGAGACAGATGGTAAAGTAGTAAACACAGGCATACACACACACACACATTCAGAGAATGGACACAGTGAACTCAAGTCATGTTGGAACTGCTTTAAACAGTGGTCAAGAAAGGGCTGCGTCCCAGAACTGCAGACATGGTTGCATGATGGAGTACTTGCCTAGCATGTGCGAGGTCCTGGGTTCAATCCCCCGTACTACAAAAACATCATGAGGACATGGTGTTTCACCTGAGACCTAAAGAAGAAGGAGCCAATCCTGACAAGGTCTATCCGAGGAACATCCCAGGCTAAGAGCACAAAAATTAAAAAGGCTTTGCCTGAGTTCAGAAAAAGCCTGGTATGTTCAAAGAAGAGAGGAGGTGTGCGCATGGGATGGGAAGGGAGATGGTGTGCAGACAGTTGTTCCAAATGAACAGATGCAGACCCCGCAGACCCTTGCAGGTCTGGTGAGGAGTTCTGATTTCCCTCCACAGGCAGTAGGCAGTCACTGGAAGGTTATGTGCAGGAAAGTGGCCTGTTTTATGTTTTCCCAAGAGGACCCTGGCTGCTCTGTGCAGAAGGCTGTGTCAGGAGCAGGAAGGAAGGCTGGGCATCATTGAGACATTGTCACCAGCCAGTTTGGAGTTGAGGTGCCAGTGGAGATGGAATAGAGGGAACAGGTCCAAGAAGCATTTAGATGTAGAGGAGATAGGATTGCTGATGGAGGTGGGGGATGGAAAGGGAGTAGAAAATAATTTCTCATGATGGAGTATAAAAACAAGATGACATGGAGATATTTAAGCATCCAAATTCCATTTTTGTTCTATACCCTGAGTTCAAAGTTATTGCATATATTCATAATTATAATGAAGCTGAGCTTTTCCAGAGCACATGTGATCCTGACACACTGAAAGCATGCTGCTTCTTATAGTTGGCTGCAGTACATGAAAAGAAATTAACCAAGAAGATGCAGTGAAACTAAGCAAATAGTTTCAGCCAAAAGTACAAGGACATGCATGATGTAACGTGTTAATTTTGCTAATCGTCATTTCCTTTTTAAAGAGAAATTTCCTCTTGCAACCCATACACAATCAGGAAATCTTTCAACCTGCTTATTTCAATCACAGGGTATAGAAAAAAGATGGAATTTGGATGCTTAAATATCTCCATGTCATCTTGTTTTTATACTCCATCAAAAGAAATTATTTTCTAGTCCTCGCCATTGCTGAGGATGGCTTTGGTCTGGAGATCCTCCTATCTCAGCCTCATGAGCCACTGGGATTACAGGTGTGCACCACCACACCAGGCCACACCAATTCTTTTAAAAGGTTGAAATACATGGTTCTGGGCAGTGGCAAACCTGCCCACTCAGATGGGTCTGACCCACATGATAATGTCATTTTTTGAATCTTCAGTGTGAATTGAGCTTTCCCAGTCATTGAGCAAAGCTCACATCCTCAGTAACAGCCCCAAATTCTATGTGATAGTTTCCATCTGCTGTTCTCCCACCAAATACTGTAGGACTTTTGCAGAGGGCTTCTCTTTGTCACACTTACGTCTCAGAATTCTGTGAGTTCTAAGTTACATCAGTTCTGGTTTCTGCTGATTTTTATCTTCGTGGACCTTCTCCTTTTCTGAATTTGGGTATTTCTCTCTTCCTTTGGCCATTGAAACAATGTACTGTTCCTCTTCTCACATCTGTCTTGCAGAGAGTGGAGCCACAACAGAGCTGGTGGAGCCTCCTGTGACTCAGGGAAGGGGAAGGAGCTGGGCTTGGCAGGGATTCAGGCCTCAAACTTGGACACTGTCCTACTGCCCTGTCTGATGCACGTGCTGGAATATCCCCACAAATGGTGATCTCCAACTCTGTCACCTGGTTTTGTGCATCAAACCATTTTCCTTCTAGTCCATCCGAGCGGGTTCTGGTTCTCCCAGAGGACCACTGTACATTCCTACAAGCAAGGGGTTGTGGTTATGCACAGCTTTAAGTGACAGTGAAGATGAAGCACCCACCATCTCACCCTGCTTTCAGTTCTGGCCAGCCACAGTAGCTTGTGACATGAGAAATCATGCTTAAAAAGCAAAAAGGGAGAGCTCATGTAAATACATGTGGGAAATAAGATAAGGAACTCATAGATATGTATGCTGCTCTGCTGATAGTTTTCACCTTCCTTTCTTTCTTTATCTTTTTTTTTTTTTTTTTGTACCAGGGACTGAACACTCAGGGACACTCATCAGGAGCACTCAACCATTAAGCCACATCCCCAGCCCTAGTTTGTATTTTATTTAGAGACAGAGTCTCACTGAGTCGCTTAGCACCTCGTTTCTGCTGAGGCTGGCTTTGAACTCACGATCCTCCTGCCTCAGCCCTCCCAGCTGCCACCTTCCTTCTACAGGACTTCTTTTTAATTGACATCTTAGAGAACCTCAAAGAATAAACCAGGTGGCACTAAGGTGTCAGGAGCAGACTCCCCTGCTCCCCTAACTCCCTCCTTTGGTGGGGTCACTCCTGCCCCCTGAAATCTATCAGAAAATTCTGGGGATCCGTGGAGCTGACTTCTTTTGAGGGTCATATGCATGCAGGAGGCCTCAGTCTCCTAGTGCATTGTAATCTGCTCTGTCTTGCTCTCTCCAGGCATCATCCGTGTGGCCCGCACACATCGTTCTGCTGTTCCGTCTGCCTTTGTCATTCCTTAAGTTCCTCCTAGGGCTCACCATTCCTCATAGGAGGAAGGCCCCCAGTGCTCCGCTCTCTCCTCTTGGTTTTATTCATGTCCCTGTCTGCCTTGTCTGCTCCTCCCCAGAAAACACCTGCTTATAGCTCCTACCAGCACCAAGGCCTCCCCACCTCCCAGCTCCAGGTACCCTCCTACTCCTTAGTACTGGATTCATATTGTACATCCTTAGATAAACTTTACTACTTCCTATTTTGTTTTTATTTTTTGTTTTGTTTTGTTTTGTTTGGGCAATGCTGGGGGTTGAACCCAGCGCCTTATACATGCTAGGCAAGTGTTCTACCATTGAGCTACATCCCTAGCACAACTTCCTACCTTTGAGCCTCATTTCACTCCCAGGTTCTCTCTCTGCTCTGAGCAGTCTTCTCTTGTGCCCCTGTCAATTAGCATTGTGACCCTTGACCTACTGTCTGTCTCCTCCACTTCAATAGAAACCAAGGACAGAGATGTTTGTGGGGAGGGAGCCTACTCACTTTCTATCTGCAGCTCCCAGGCCCCAACAGATGTGTGACCCATAAAGGCACTCAGCATTTGAATGAATGAATCATCAAGTTACCACGGATGCATTTGGGAAGATGGGAATGGCAGTTATTAAATAAATCAGCTCCAACTTAATAAAAACAGAAATCAGTCTTCAAAGTCTCACTGCTGCAAGACTTTCCGTACTCTATTCAAATGAGATCTGAAGTCTTAAAAGGAAAGTTTTATTTGTTGATACTTCAGGAGCTTCCACCATGTGTGGAAGTCCCCCCATCCGAGTGGAATTGGCTGTGGCCACAACCAGTTGCAGCGTTCAGAGCTGATAGTATTCATAATTCATAATCCAAGGGATAGAGGGTAGTCGTGAGCAGGCATGTATGTGTGAAGGTGTGGGTGTGACAAATGACTGGGTGTTTTAATGAACCACTCACTTGAAAATTGTCTTTCTGCAGGTGATGTATCACCAATCAGTATGTCTCCCATCAGTCAATCTCAGTTTATTCCACTCGGGGAAATCCTCTGCTTGGCAATATCGGCAATGAACTCGGCAAGAAAACCTGTCACCCAAGAAGCACTGATGGAACACCTGACAACTTGTTTTCCAGGTAATGAGAAACAAACAGAGCACTTGCCAAATGGACATGTGTGCTGGTGGCTGTTGGACTTCAAAGGGATCATTCTTGTCACGTTTAGCTATAATGGGGCAGGGGAGGGGGGGCACTTCACCCAAACTACCCAGAAGCCTTTCTTCCTTCTATCATTAAAAGTCAAGGCACCTGAGTTACATCAAAAATAAGTTCACCGCTTCAGCTCTGATAGTCTTTAATTGGCACTGAGCAAAAAGAAAATTAAATCAGAATCCATAAAGAACCTGGCAAAAATGACCAGGATTCTAGGCAATCTTTGCCATCCAACCTTTCTTAAATCCGTGAACATGAGTGTTCAAAGGACTAGTTCAGAACAACCCTAAATTTTCATCCAAAGTAATTAAACTATAGAAAGAATAATATTCAGAGTAAACATATTTCACAAGTTCATGTCATGGCTTGGTGAGCTTTAAGAAAGTATTATTTGGTAAGTTAGTTAAGATTTCGTTTTAAAAGAAAAGTACAAATATTTGCTTTTCTCCTAAATATTATAAAGATGAAGGCAATAACCCAGGGGCTGTAGGAACCACATTTGATGCTTCCTAGGCGAGAAGATGTTAGGAATGGTAATAAGCTAAAGAATGGATGCCTCATCTCAACACAGCCCACGTCTCAGCTCCAATGAATTGTTACCACTCCACCTGCAAGGCACAGAATCCTGCCAGAGTAGACAAATTTAATTTTTCAGAAGAACTGGAAATTTCATTTTATGTGAAATCCCTAAATTTCCTTAAATGCTACAATTTGTGTGTATGTTCAAGTATACATACACACACACAAACACAAAAATTGTGTATATCTCAGCAACATGTGGGTCAAGTAAAATACATTTTGGGGCCACCAGAATCTGTTCCTAGGTTGAAATAGAAATTATATTAAAAATGAATGCTTGCTGTGTGTGGTGGTGCACACCTGTGATTCTAGCAACTCAGGAGGCTGATGCAGGAGGATTGCAAGTTCAAAGCCAGCCACCAGCCTCAGCAACTTAGCAAGAGCCTGGCTTAAGAAGGAAAAAAAAAGAATGCTTGATAGATGATAGATTGTTCATTCTGCGTAGAAGAGACCTTAGTAAATATAAGCTATGAGAATGCTGGATAACAAATGATACAGAGCATTAGGGGCCTGTAGCAATAACTGCTTATTTATCTCCTTTATCTGTGGGTTCCCCAGTGGCCAGCTAATTCAGCTGAGGCCTAACAGAGTGGTCATGCTCTACCTGTACCCCATCCTTTTTAGAAAAGAGGCAAGCAGAGGCTCACTTTGCTGGTAGGGATGGCAGAAGCACAAAAACACAGGTCCTTGGTACAAGAGTTCCTCAACCCTTTGATCTCACTCTGCTAGCATTGCATGCCCCGAAGCAAACCTGACCATTCCCAAAGTAAAGGTGTGGGGAAGTGTACCCCACACAGGTGGAAGGTTGGAAGTGCCAACTCTAAGCGAAATGGTAATCTACGTGACCACACTGGGTTTCCTGAGAGAAACTTTAAATTTCTCTCCTACTGATTCTTCCTTCAATTTCGATTATCTGAGTAATAGATCTTGATATTATATGTGATGTTTAAAAACTCTAATATGAACCCACCCTTGCAACCTATAAATTATCTTAAATGTTGCAATATTTTATTTTCTCTGAATTTTCTTCACTATCTGTTTCTTTTCGTAGTAAACTTGCAGGTAGAACTTTTTCTTTCAGTAGTAAGATAAGCAAAATCTCAGGGGACACTGTCTCAGAGGGGACAGATGCTGTTTGCAGATTCTGTGCTTTTGTGAAGGATGGCCCTTCTTTCTGCCTGATTCCTGGGCAGCCACTGGTTATCAAACAACCCAGCAGCTTTTGAAACCCTTGCGTTTTTATATAGCTTCACGAGAGATCATTTAGATTTTTTTCAGAATTGGCTACTCAACTTCCCGTTTCTGAAAAGAAAGAGAAAGAACACAGAGTCAGCATGTCATGGTAAAATGCTCATCACCGGAAGCAGCTGGTAACAGTATCACTAAGCTGAAGTACCTCATAGAGAAATCCATAGATTATCTGTATTTAAAAGAATAAGTGCTTTGCTAACCTTTATGGTGGATGAACAGAAATCCCAAGGCCTTGGTCTCTTCAGAGGAACTGAGAGGAGCTAACTAAACTTTCTCTGTGTCCCTGGTGTCTATTGACCAGCTCCAGAAGTTTGGAAGGACACTGTTCAAACTAGAGTCTAGGACAGGGGTTTACAAACTATGGCCTGCAAGCCTAGTGCAGCCCACGACCTGTATCTGTAAATAAAGCTTAACTGGAACTCAGCCATGGCTGCTGCACAGAGTATTGGCTTTGGCTCTCCATACTGCACTGTCAGAGTTGAGTAGTTGGAACACAGATCATATAGCTCCCAAAACCTAACATATGTACTATCTGGCTCTTTACAGAAAAAGTTTGACAACCCCAGGCTTAGGACATAATGACAATTATTTAAAATTTTGTTCAGCAATAGTTCCAAATTTTAAACTAGTATTTCATTAAAAAATGAGATATTGTATCCTGCCTGTCTTTTTATTCTTTCTTACCTCCTTCCTCCATTCTTTTCTTTCCCTCCTTTGATTTTTTTTTTGCCTTTCTTTTGTTGTCACTCAAGTGACATCAGAACAAAACACTTTCAAAAACTCAACATTGTTAGTTTTTTTTTTCTGCTTGAAAAATGGTTTTTTAATGACAGTACTTACTATCATATTTATATTTTTTGTTTTTAAAGGTAAGAGTATTTTTAATGCCTTATTATTTGAAGATGAAGTTTAATTAAATATGAAAATATTTGAATTTTCATATTTAGCACATGGTCAATAAGTATAAAGAATAGTCTAGAACTGGGGACTTTGTTCCTATTGTGGAATCCATATTATAAAGAGTTTTCAGTGAAAGTTCTTCTAGTAAAGAATGTATGATATACTGAAAAAAAATCTTATCACCTTTTATATAGGTTGAATTTTTTGAAATCCAATTCAACAACTTTTACATACCAGTCTCCATTACAGAATTCAAGTATATTTCTTAAAAGGTTTAAAAAGGATATATACTTGCTTCTCACATTTTGTGGGGAAAGGGGGATTAAACGCAGGGGCAATTAGACACTGATCAACATCCCCAGCCCTTTTTATTTTTTATTTTGAGACAGGGTCTCGCTAAGTTGCTGGGGCTAACTTCAAACTTGTGATCCTCCTATCTCATTTTCCCAGGTAGCTGGAGTACAGGTGTGCACCAACACACCCGACTTCTTATATTTTTAAAGACCTTCTCATCCATTCATGCAGAGTGAATGGCTGTTTCAATTGTTATGTTCGAATTGAATCCTTCTGGGAGGACAGCTGGCCTTGAACAAAATGCAGTTAGAGCTATCAGGCTGGTTATGGGGTTCAAGTTCATTTTTAAATATATGTTTTTGCTTTGGAAGATGTAAAGGTGTGGAAAGGAGATAAGTCAGGTTTCAGCTCTGTTAGCATGCAAAGCTTATCCTTGTTCTTTAAGCCCTCAAAATTTGAAGTCATGATGGAGTAGAATCCGAAAGTGATGGAATACACAGACGTTCCTCACCGCCACCACTCTCCAGGTCAGCCCTACAGATTCCTGGTAGAACTCAAGATTTCATGACAATTGAAAATGTGAGTCGTGATACAAGGGCTTAATAATAAAATAATAATAATAGGTATCAGCGATTTTCAGTTAAATCTTTGGAAATTCAAGGTAGAAGTATAGAAAATGGATGGAGAGGAAAGAATGTTTATGGTTTCTTTTTCTTTCCAAGTAAACATGATTTGATTTATGAACCGAAAATCCAAAACAAAAAGCAGAGGTGCAAATGCTCTATGGAATTCTTTCTTATCTCTTTTGGAACAACCAGAGAACTTGTTCTTAACGGTAAGTAAAGATGACTGCATTGTAATCATGATTCTCTATAGTTTCATGAGTTTTCTAAGATCATTATTTAAAAGGCCTGTACCATAAACCAGCCCATTCTATAACAGTTCAATTCTTGTTTTAAAGTAATAGCTGTTCTTATGAATCACACCTCAGCTTTCCTTTAGTAGCAGTCATAGTAAATTAGTCAATCATGAGTTCTCAGACCATTGAAGATACAGTCAGTTTAAAACATGGGTTTGTTCTTTTAATTTCTGTGCCAATAACTACACTATTCTTGACACTCCAGTATGGCTACTGTGTATTCTCCTCTCAGGAGTAGCATTCTGGGTGAATGAAGTCTTCTTTCAGTTATCTGTTAGAAGGCCCTAATAGTAGAGAGTAGAAATTCTTTTAAAAATGGTTACCTGTAACCATTTTTTTTGTTGTTGTTGTTTTCATTTTATGATGGTGCTCAAAAATGGCATGTGTATGGTTTAGGTTATACACTAATAAAATTAAAATGCATTTATATTTTGTATAGAAAGTACCACAAAATTTTAAATAACAACTTTTATTTTATCAGTCTTGAAATCATTTGTACAAAATAACCAATGTACATTGGTCAGAAGTTATGCATTATCCCAGTAGCTCGGAAGGCAGAGGCGGGAGGATCACAAGTTCAAAGCCAGCCTCAGCAAAATCGAAGCACTAATCAACTCTAATAAAATACAAAATAGGGCTGGGGATGTGGCTCAGTGATTCTAGTACCCCTGGGTTTGATCCCTGGTATCCCTCCCTCACCCCGCAAAAAGTTAAGCATTAGATTAGGGCTGGGAATGCAGCTTAGTAATAGTGTGCTTGCCTAACACAGGCAAGGCCCTATATATGAAAAATAAATAAAAAGAGTAAAACATTAGATTAAAAGGAAACTATGCAACTCAAAAATTAAATAATTATGTCAATCAGTACATTATCCATGAACAGTGTTATCTTTTTTTTACCTTGGTCACTAAGGATGCCTTCTAAGGAGGAAGGAGGATGACATAAATGTGTGTGTATGTGCGTGTTATATCATACTGTAGACTCTGAGAATTCCAGACCATTTCTAATATTTTCATATCCTACTTCATAGTTTTGGAAGGATTAGAGGATCCTAAACCTCTCAGGTCACCCAGCTATTCTAGGTTGCTACACAACATTCTTGGAAGGTAATGTGGGATTTCGTGGATTCTGACCCAAAGTTTAAGACCAATACTAAGTAGTATTGGTTGAGCATTCACTATATGTCAGTCACTGTTCTACAGGCACCAAATTCAGACTAACAGCGCCAGGAGTGTAGGTACCATTATTATCCGCATTTTGATGACAATAAACAGAAACTCTGAGAAGTTAGGTTGCCAGCTGCACTAATGATACCAACTGCACTGATTTTCTAGGGCTGCTTAACAGAAGTTTATCATCCTAGAGTCTGAAGGCCAGATATCCAAAATGAAGAGGTCAGCAGGTTGTTTGGTCATTCTGAAGTCTGTGAGGAAAGAATCTGTTTCAGGGATCTGTCCTTGGCTTGTGGATGGCCAACTTCTACCAGTGTCTCTTATATTATTTTCTCCCTTTATATTATTGTCTCTGTGTCTACATTTCCCTGTTTCAGAAGGACATCAATTATATATTACAGCCCATCCTGATGATCTTATTTGAACTTGAATACAGTTGCAAAGATCCTATCTACAAAAAGAAACAAAGGTCATCTTAGGAGGTGTTACCACAGTTAGAATTTCAACCCATGAATTTGGGGTAGCGGTGTTAGTCAACTTCCTATTATAACAAATACCTGAGATGATTGACTTGGAAGGGGCTCACGTTGGCGCACAGGTTTAGAGGTTTCGGCCCATAATCATTTGACCTCATTACTTGTCGCCCTGTACTGAGGCAGCCCTTGGCAGGACCACTTAATGGAGCAAAACTGCTCCCCTCATGATCAGAAGGAGAGAGAGGAAGCAGAAGTCCCACAGTCCTCTTCAAGGCCACACTTCCAATGACCTAAAGACTTCCCATTAGGCTCCAGAGCTTAAAGGTTCTATGACATTCCCAGAGCACTAATCTTTGGAGACTGAATCTTTAACACGTGGGCCTTTGAGACATTCCAGACACAAACTATGATAGTGGGTGAGGGAAGCGGGGTGAGGTGCGTGAGTCAGCCGTTAACACCAGCTATCAGTGACAGAGCTGGGCTTTCCATCCAGGAGTCTGGCCCCAGGACCCAAGCTTTCAGTCTCCACATCACACCGCCTTAACCATGTTTGGTTGACAATGTGAAATTGCCATTTTGTGGGTCAGACACGGTTGAATATTGGCAGTTATTCATATGATTCGACCTGACCTGTTTCTAAATTATATCATTCAGATCAATTTTATAAGTATATCACCCTTTATGTGATGAGGACTGCAGAATACCCAGGAAATAAAGTAAATGGACTATAGCCTGATGAATTTATACTCTCTGAAGGATTTATACTCTTGATTCTGCCTCTTAAGGTGGAGAAGACATAAACATGCACACAAAACCCCTTGAAAACATTATTAGTCGTTATACAAAGAAGCATCTATCATTTTTATTCCTAGTGTTTCTATTCTAGAAAAGCAGGGGGTTTGGGACTTAGTGATCAACCTGATAGTCTTTTCTTTTACGAGTGTGTTTATTCGCGCCCACTGGTTAGAAACTAGAAGAAATACCTCCACCTGCTGACTTATGACTAAAAGGAGAATGTTCTCACCCGACTTTGACCAGTGCACCAGTCAATATTGAAGGTGTTGATAATTGCAAAACTAGAGGTCATATCAGAAATAGGGATCAATTCTAATTGTCCTTTTATATGACTCATAAAATCAAGTAAACTTATTTTTAAAAAGGAGTATATGAAGTAGTTCTAATGTGTAGCCTCTATATATGTTATATTTGTTTTTCAAATCAAGATAGCTGTTTTAACCTTTCTTCCCTAGTTACTTTTACTGAAGATGACTTTTCTGTAAGTTGATATCACATTATGTAAAACTTTTCATTTTCCTCTCACTTTCATGATTGAGTTCAGCAAAGGTTTGTAATGACAGTTGCAACCTAGCTGGGCAAGGTGGCACATGCCTGTAATTCCAGCGACTTGGGAAGCTGAGGCAGGAGGATTGCAAGTTCAAAACCAGCCTTAGCAGTTTGGAGAGGCCCTAAGCAACTTAGTGAGACCCTGTCATAAAATAAAATAAATAAATAAATAAATAAATAAACAAAGAAAGGGCTGGGGATGTGGCTTAGTGGTTAAGTGCCCCTGGGTCCAATCCCTGGTACATCCCCAGCCCTCTTTGAGCTTTTATATTTTCTCAGTCCATAGGAAGTAATAGCAATAGACATTATCAGAGGAGACTAAGATGCACACTAAACTTAATGGTCAACCTGGTCTTGTTCCCACTTACACGCCCTGAGATGATACTTGGAAGCTTGCCATTACTAATAAGATTCTGAAAATCAGGAATCGGCAACATGTTCCCGCTTCACTCTCACAAGTGTTGTTCGTTTGCTTTTTGGTTTTAGGTGTTCCAACCCCAAGCCAAGAAATCCTGCGGCACACGTTGAACACCCTGGTACGGGAGAGGAAGATCTATCCCACTCCGGRTGGCTATTTCATTGTGACCCCACAGACTTACTTCATAACTCCTTCCCTCATAAGAACTAACAGTAAATGGTACCATTTGGACGAGAGGATACCTGACAGGTCTCAGTGTACCTCTCCACAACCTGGAACCATAACRCCCTCTGCCTCAGGCTGTGTCAGGGAAAGGACATTGCCCAGAAACCACTGCGACTCTTGCCACTGCTGCCGAGAAGACATGCACAGCATGCACGCGTCCACTCTGCAGAGGAAATCTGCCAAGGACTGCAAAGACCCTTACTGCCCTCCTTCTCTGTGCCAGGTGCCACCCACTGAAAAGAGCAAAAGTACTGTAAATTTTTCTTATAAGACAGAAACTCTCTCGAAACCTAAAGATAGTGAAAAGCAGTCCAAAAAGTTCGGGCTCAAGTTATTCCGGCTAAGTTTTAAGAAAGACAAGACCAAACAGCTGGCCAATTTTTCTGCCCAGTTTCCTCCAGAGGAGTGGCCCCTGCGGGACGAAGACACGCCCACTACCATCCCTCGGGAAGTGGAGATGGAGATCATTCGGCGGATCAACCCGGACTTGACTGTGGAAAATGTCATGAGGCACACTGCACTGATGAAGAAACTTGAAGAAGAGAAAGCGCATAGGAGTAAAGCAGGATCCTCTGCCCACCACAGCGGAAGAAGTAAAAAGAGCAGGACTCATCGAAAGTCCCATGGGAAGTSTCGGTCACACAGCAAGACGCGGGTGTCCAAAGGAGACCCTTCGGACGGTTCGCATCTGGACATTCCTGGTGAAAGAGAGTATGACTTTTGTGACCCTCTGACCAGGGCGCCCAGGGAGGGCTGCTTCATCATCGAACACAAAGGCGACAACTTCATCATGCACAGTAACACSAACGTGATYGAGTCCCATTTCCCCATGACACCAGAATGGGATGTGTCCGGCGAAYTGGCCAAAAGGAGAACTGAGATGCCTTTTCCTGAACCTTCCAGGGGAAGCTCGCACTCCAAAGTGCACCRAAGCCACAGCCATACCCAGGACCGAAGGTCCAGGAATGAGAGACCCAGCAAAGCCAAGGAGAGGTCCAGATCCATGGATAACTCCAAAGGCCCCCTGGGCGCTTCTTCTCTAGGCACACCCGAAGACCTGGCCGAAGGCTGTAGCCAAGACGACCAGACCCCCAGCCAGTCCTACATCGATGACAGTACTTTAAGGCCCGCTCAGGCTGTTGGTCATCAAAGGGCTCTCCTTTCATCCGCAAGCTATAAAGAGGTATGTATTCCAGAAATAGTTGGTGGCAGCAAGGAGCCTTCCAGTGCTTGTAGCCTCTTGGAGCCAGGCAAACCACCCCGAGAGTTTGCCACCCTACGGGGAACTCAGCACCTGTCCAACCAAAACAGCCGCTGATGACTACTTCCAGTGCAACACTTCTAGTGAGACGGTGCTTACCGCACCGTCACCTCTGGGGAAGAATAAGGAGGACCATGCCACTCTGACCCTGGCAGAAGGCGTGAAAAAGCTGTCTCCCTCTGATAGGCAGGCCCCGCATTCCTCCAGGGAGCCTGTCGGCCACAAGGAGGAGTCACCAAAAGGGTCAG